GGAGTGCAATGGTATCACCATAGCTCACTACAGCTTCTGACTCCTGGACTCAAATTATCCTCCCACTTTGGCCTTCTGAGTAGTTGGAACTACAAGTGTGTGCCACTGTGCTTGGCTAATTACTCCTGCCCTCAAGCAATCCTTCCACCTTGGCCTTCCAAATCACTGGGATTATAGGAGCACAGTACCGTGCCTGGCAACAAGGTCTACCTTTGATTCAAAGAATTATGAATCAGGGAAGTAGCCACTTTATATCATTCTGAATAGTTAAAACACTTCCAAATTCATTGCTTTTATTTCAAAAATTGAAAAAGAAAATAAGACAAACCTGTCTCAGAGATTGGTGCTAACGTAGCACAGTGGGATGTGGGAGAACCTATATGACCTACAGTTAGGCTTTGGATAAGGAATAAAGAATGGTATAGGCTGGGTGGTGCCCTGGGGCAGCTACACATAGGAAGACCTATGATAGAATTCAGAATGGATTCAGATTCTTCTGGACAGAAGAAGTATGGCCTCTGCCGCCTTCTTCTCCATCTCCTGTCCCTTTTCTCTAGAATATTCCAGAGTCAAAAGTCTTTGTTATTTATTTTTATTTCAGGTTATTGTGAGGGCACAATTTTTGAATTTGTTAGGTAGAGTCCCACTTGAAGTTATGTCCCATACTCAAAAGGTATGCCATATACCCCTACCTTGTGTCCTTTAAGTGGAAGCACACCAATCCCCCTCTCCCCAACTTGAATAGAATTAAGTTTTTCTCCTATGTGGGCATGTGTTAGGTCATCTACTGGCTTTATAAAAAAATTGAGTACACTGGATACCTGTGTTTTCATTCTTGTGATACTTTACTAAGAAGAATGTGTTTAAACTCCATCCAGGTCAATACAAAAGATATAAAGTCACCATCTTTTCTTATGGCTGAACAGTACTCCATACTATGCATGTACCACAGCTTGTTAATCCATTCCTGAGTTGATGGGCATTTAGTTTGTTTCTAAATCTTGGCAATTGTAAACAGAGCTTCAAAGCTTCAATAAACATTCTAGTGCAAATGTCTTTATGATAAAATGATTTTTTTTTCTTCTGGGAAAATGCCTAGTACTAGCATTGCTGGGTCAACTAGGGAGATAGTATGATTCCAGGTATTGGTCCATTTCTTCCACATTGTCAAATTTCTGGGTGTGGAGTTTCTTGTAGTAGTCAGAGATAATCTCTTGTTATTTTAGTGGTATCTGTTGTTATTTCCCCTTTTTTGTTTCTAATTGAGGTTATTAGAGATTTTAATTTTCTATTTCTAGTTAATCTGGCCAAAAGTTTATTGATTTTATCTTATTGAAGAACCAACTTTTTGTTTCATTTATTTTCTGAATAATTCTTTAGCTTTCATTTTCATTTATTTCTGAGTTAATCTTGGTTATTTCTTTTCTTCTGCTGGGTTTGGGATAGGCTTGCTCTTCCTTTTCCATTTCCTTACGATGATTCATTAGGTTGTTGATGTGTTCTTGGTTTTTTGAATAAAGCCATCTAGTATGATAAATGTCCCACTTAGGACA